TTTGTTCTAAATCTTGACCTTATTTAGCTATACCGTCTGGTTACTTGTCTCGCACACTTATACTTGTTGCTTGATGTTAAATCTTAAAATATCAACATTTTCCTACTTCAGCGCCATCAAGCAGACAGTAATAAAGTTATGAAAGCGAAGCTCCGACTAAAAGCTAGTAGGCTATAAATTTCACATGGATGAAGCTAGTGGGCGATATAGAGACAATTGCCGTCTACTTTACGCCACCAAAACATTATTTTTACATTTATGCGTTGACCGTTCCCATTTATCATTTTCTAAAATCATGTCTAAAACATCAATATCGGTGTAACAAGCCGGATTGCACCTTTATTATTCCTGTGGCCCATATCAACGGTTCTATGCTGAATAATGTATATAAATGTTTGAATTTACTGTGTGTTGAAACTTTTGGATGGAATTTTTTTATGTAGGCAATTGGAATGGCAAAATAGGTGACGGCAAGCGTCTGAGTAATGGCAACCGTTAGCTATATGCATGAATAGCACTATCAACACCATCATGTTGTAGGACTAAAGTAAAACTAATATTGTTATATCAGTTATACATATATTCTTGTATTTATCCATTACAAAAAATAAGACTATCGTGATCTTGTGGTTTACATTCGACTTAGAGCCAAGAGATCGTGAGTTCAAACCCGACCGATATCAAACAATTAGTATCACGATATATAACTAATAACTCTCCGGTAATGGAAACACCGTTAACATACCAAATTAATCAGACCACGGTAGAGCTGCTCGTAACGCAGACATTTGATGACTATTATCATCATCATCTAGGATAAACGTCGTCCCCGCAAAAACACTATCTGGTGCAAATTTGGACATGTTCGAAACAATATTTAGTACTGTTGTATATGTTTAAACCAAAATTATACAAGCTATTTAAGACGACGACAGACTAGGTTTTAGCGCTTAGACATTACAAACTGGAATATTGAAACATACACTAGTGGCGGCCTCTTGATTGAAACGCTCATTATTAATTCGAGTACCCTGTATATTATTATTAGTCACAAAATATAAAGATAAATACAAACAGATAGATTTAAAAAACATCCAATAAATGTGTTTTTTTTTTATTTTTTTATACCACGTAGGTGGCAAACAAGCATACCTACGGCCCATCTGATGGTAAACGGTTACCGTAGCCTATGGACGCCTGAAACACCAGGGGTATCACATGCGCGTTGCCGACCCGTAAGAAACTTTAACATAGGGTATGTTAAGGTTTCTTTTCTTGTTGTTGAAGGTGGCTTGAAAAACCCATGCTGTAGTCTCTCGAGGAAAGTATTATTCAGTTTTTGTAATTACATACTTCAATACATTTACGTTCAGATTTAAATAAATAATTAAGCTCGCTCACAAAATATATCGAAGCCAGATTATGAACAAAATGTACTCGTTATTTTAATTCCACCTTGGGATAGTGTTATTGATAACCTTTGTACATAATTTTTCTTTCTCTACTTTGTATATCTAAGATACAGTAAAAAATTAATAAACACTACAAACATTGATATAATGTACTATCAATTAAAAATAATGAATGTAATATATTACATATTTAATAATAATTACATGAAATAAAAATAAAATAGTCTACCATAATAGACGGACTCGGCGGTCTAGCGGTTTAGCACACGCTTTACTTCTGATGATCGCGGGTTCATTTACTACCGCGTTACAAACATTTGTATTTATGAGTAGAATTGTTTGTATCGAAAGAAGAAATTATTTATTTGGTACATAACAATAATAAAAATCATTTTTAAATTTTAAATGACATACTGGTTTATATAAATTACATAGTACCAAATAGGTCTCCGCTCAGCATATGAGTATGTCGTGATGGCCACGACGCTGGACGACATAATAATTATATACATAAATCTAGGCGGATAACAGAGTAAACATTTACGACATACTACCATATATAAATAAATATCAGTCATAACTACACATTGAAACATATAATAAACATAATGATCTGGTGACCCTAGCAGACAGACACCTTGCATTACCCTACATTTGGAGTGCAGACATATCACAGCACAATTTTCTGAGTAAGGAGTAGTAGTTTTTTTAATTTATTTTTTAAAATCTGCACAGTAAAGAATTCTTTATAGGTGGAGTGATATTATTCCAGCACTCCGAACGCGTTACCATCCAAAGTAAGTTGATGTGCTAAACCATTAGACTACCAAGGCGCTCTTATTTCCTCTAAATCATGCATTGGATTTTGATACAGTTTTAAGTGTCATTTAGACAATTTATTATTTTAAATTTATATGTACTAGTGGTCACCTAGTGGTCGAAATTCCATAATTAATTTAACATTCAGTAACACTATAGATAAATAATATTAAAGACACAATATTAATCTATTCTTAATTTGACCACAGACAATAAAGAAAGGAGTATATATGCGCGTGTGAGTCAAACACATGGTAGTATGTAATGTTTTTTTATTGAGTTAATGTGAGGTATTTTTTGTGCATAATTAAAAAAATATATATTATCCTTCTATATAAACTGTGTGCGAAATAACATACTCGTCCGTCTGCGCAATATTCGTAAAAAGAGGTGCAAAGTCTTAGCTTCACGTATTACCGTATATATGTATGTATGTATAATACATACATATATATTATACTTATACAACCTCTTTCACAAATATAACAAACAAGAAGTCGAGGCGATTCGCAAGTTGTTATATATACCTACAATCTGAGTATTTATATCTTAACTTTTGTTGAGGCTTGAAATTATACGGCATTCGTGGAATGACGTCATAGAGTTATTTCATATGCAAAGTTTGCGTATGCGCATATTACCAAAGTTTGATTGAATAATGATTGAATAACAAAACTTTTTGTTTTATACTTCAGTCAACAAACAAGTAACCAATTATTCAATTTTAGGCCAGCATTATTTCACTTATATATACGAATATCATCATATCATATACACGTTTAAAATACTACACGTAGTTTTTTTAAGGCAAATGCAATAAGTATAAATATAAATAATCTTTCTTCAAATAAACTTGTTATAAGCACTTTTGAATAGTCACATTTTTTTTGTTCTACCACTTATTCGCAACGCAGGCTCACCACAAAATGAGCAAACTTGCGTGTTGCTCTTTTAAATAAATGTTGTTCGAAGTAACCATACATTAATAAAGTTAGGCATGCGACAATCAACATTTAAACCGCAACGCACTCAATCTTTGTTCAATCGGATCGTCTATAGGATCTTGTAAGTTCATATTTACAAGTCGGAACGTGTGAATACAGCCTACCAACCAGCACTAATTTATTAGGGTCAAATATAAATACACAATAAGATTAAATCAATCGTAGTGATAAGAGCAGATCAGTCCCTACAAGCAGCACTCGTTCACGATTATGACGGATTATGTTATTTAGTACCTACATAAAGTCAATATATGTACATTTGGTCAGTTCATTATCATCTGTAATATATATCATGTCAACCGACAACATATTATTATTAATACTCCGCATCAGTAAGTCATATTACAGAATAGATAATAGTTACTAGTTTATTTTTCTTCTTTTTGAATACTGCTAATTAGGAATATACTTTTTTATATACAGTAGTCCAATCTGATGGCTGAATGAATGAATTTTTGTTTGTTTGTATTCCTTTTAAATTCATGATGCTCCTATGAATCAGACCTCAGGCGCTGTCTGCGAATCTTTCCGCTAGTCCATCTTTTAAATTGAGAGAATGTTAGATTCTCCGATCCCTGCTGTTGCGCGGCCAGTTCATTTCTGTGTCCATTTACAGTAGACTAGTAAAACGTAATTAAAAAATTCTTATCTCGCTCAACTGTAGACTAGTTTAATGAGATTAGTGTTATTCATTCGACACTGATTAACTTCATAATACAATGATAAGGATTGTTTTGACGTCGGTCGAAGAGCGGCGATGTGAGTCATCGGCTGTCCGGACGAATTTCTCAAAAACATAAGTCAAAGTTCAGTCAACCAGTCTGAATGAATCTCGACTGCCGTTAATGGTTGCATATAACTTTATACGTATCCTATTATATTGTCATTTAATCTATACTTACTAGCTATAACCGAGACCAACCAAAAAAAAACATATTTACTTAATAACCTATCCCAAAAAGCCAAAGAAAAAAGTTTTATCTTTGTAGCTTTAAAAATGACGATAGTTCCATACAAATTTTCATCTTCTCTTTTCACAACTTACGATCGTATTGTCGCATTAAAAAATAGCCTATGTCCTTATAAACTTTAAACACTATTGTTTGTACATAATTGTTTATATTTTTTTTATGTTATCTTTTAAATATGTATATTGTATTTATTTACAATTATTTAATTTAATTTCTTCTTTATGTTGGGTCCGTAATTTTGCGAAGAATTAACATACTCGTTTCTATTTCTTTATTGGATCTAACTGCATGCGGTTTTGTTCATTTTAATATAGACAACGATGTATCGTAACAGTACAAATTTAGCTGCTAATTTCAATATTAACATTTATTCATATTCAAGAATATAATTCTCCATGTATTTTATAATATTAATAATATTTCGATATAATTCCACCTGTGCCAGTAGTAAGCTTCCAGATTAGATTACATGTTACCTATTAATAACATAAGCCCAACTAATAAGTCTAAGTGGATTTATTACCTACGCTTATATATTATGTTATGGTAATAATAATAATATTATATTTATAAAGACATACATACACACACTTATTACACTCACAGACATTACATGTGAGTACATGACTACATAAGACTTTTTTTTAATATGTTATGCTGTATCTTCACGAAGTATGAGTAGATTTTGTGATGTATTTTTTAATTATTTAACTTCATCTCGAATGTAATTGTTGTTATTGATTAAGTCTGTATTTAGTAGTATATTAATATCGTATATTGTATTTTTCTTTTAGATTCCTACAGCCGCAGCAGATGGCCACTGTATATGGCATGGCGTCTGTTGGAACAACACTGAAAATCCTTTTAAGAAGAAAAATTGTTACTACGATGGGCCGGCCCTCCCCATTGAAGAATCTACAAGGGTAAGTCAACAATAATGTGTAAGATGTGATTCGGTCCATCGGTGATGATCTATGATAAGGTAGTGATGTTACAGGATAAGAGGCATTACATCTTAGTCCTTCAAAATGAAAAGACATGGATGGTATCACCGGTGTCACATGATAACGTAAGATCTGTAATGTTGTAGATATAATCTACTTACCATTAGAAAAAGTTTCAGCTTATATCTCATTCTAATCTTTATTATTTATTTATATGACAATATCTTCACGGTTTGTATGATTGTTTTCAACAACCAACAAATTATAGTTTCTACCCCTCAAGGGCGGGGGTATGACCTGTTCGAACTGGGTCACTGGTCTCTTGAACACTGCTATATTTAGCACATGCATGCAACAATGACGTCACAAGAGTCCTACTTTAGGGTAAAGAACTTGACCTGGCAATTGCACGATTTCAAACGCCTGCATGCAAACGAGAGTACCAAGAGGCGTAGATGAAGAACGGTGTCCCACATTTTTGTTAGAAATGTTAGTTGTTCGTCTGAATTTTTTAATAGACAATCCATCCATCCATTAATCCATTTTACCACCACTGTGGTATAAATAAATATGTTTTCACTAAGATTCGAATAATCGTTTAGTGGTAAAAAGATAACAAACACAGACACGCTCATTTATGATATTACTAAGTATTTATTAGTATGGAGTTGTCATTAAGTATAAGAAAAATTCTGAATATGGCCATTCCAAAGAAAAACCGAGAGTGAAAATATATAAAGTTATCACAGTGATCATTGCTTGAAAAACTAGAAATATTAAACATATTACAGCGTCATACTGCAGCGTCATTCTGTGGCAATTTTACTTCGTCACTTTCTTTTTAATTAAGAGAATACCACGAAAGAAAAGGACTAAACAAAATAATAGTTAAAAATATATACTTGGTCCTTGACAATGTTTTAAATAAGAGGAACTGAGTATAAAATATACAGAGCGTAGTAATTGTGGAGCATACGTTTTGATCGCCTTTACTTGTATTTGTCTCTCTCTCAATTAAGACTTCGCGACATTGATGTATGAGCACACAAATTACTCCTACTGACCCAAATAAAAGCGAGGGTCGTCTCGCAGAAGTTACATCTTGATAAATGGAAAAGTTTGGAAAAGTTCTCAATGAAATATTTCACATGTACTATAGATACTTAGCTATAGGTGATTAGCTTCTATTCTACCTGAGCTTTCATCAGTCTTACGTTTTCTTTTTATTGGATTTTCAAACAAACATATGATCATCCTGATGGAACTGATAACAGTTATCTAGAGGGAGTCTAGGGGCTGTTGCTTTATTGCTAGAAATGTGGAATGTTAGGTTAATCTCCACAAGGTTTTTCCTGGAAACTATCATGATAAATTCACAATGGGTTAACTGACCTGATCTTGTGTTCATCTTATCATGGTACAGAATGAAAATTTCGTTATAATCCATTAAAAAAAATACATTTTATAGATACATAGTATACGTGATCAGCTTTTATTGGAATAGAAGGTGGACCTTTATCAAACTGATGACCCTCCTAATGGAAACTGGCAACAGTCGCCAACAAAGTGTATGCAAATTCTTAATTTCCTTTCCTCGTAGCAGAAACAGCGAGGTTGCCAAATTCATATTTCAATGTTATATTATTAAACAGTGTAAGATGTGAATCATGACGTCATGCGTTCTTGTTTACTTTAATAACGTCAAATGTACTAATTTAACTAAATAACTTGTATATATTTGTATACCTATATGTAATTATCGATCAGTCTATGTATTCGCCAGGACTCTTACCAGAGCTTATTTTGGCTGTAACTTCACGACTGTTCGAATATATGTACATTACTTGAATGCAATATTTTTTTATCCTAGACGAGTCTGGGTCTAGTAGTCTTTAGGACTATTTTTTTACTTTATTATATTGAATCAAAATATTTACAATTTTACGTTCTTTAAAACTAGATTGAGGGCATTAAAGAAGTGTTACTACTATTCCGTAGATGATTATTATAATGATGACCATAAAGGCTTCAGTTGACCTATTGCACTGTGCTTGCTAACATAACAGAATTTGCTGTTTAAGTTACTATTATGTGTTAGACCTTGTATATTATGTTATCCTACACAATTTATATTGTTACTGCTAAATAAATAAATATCAGTATTTCCATCGGAGAATCATCCAGAAATATAAATTGACACACCTTGATATTGACGTCTGTCAGATTTCAATTCACGAGCTGCGTCTGAATCGAGGTAGTAATTGTTCCCTCTAATACAATATTGTTTATTGTTAGTGCCACGATCTATATTAAGGTTACTATATTAAAATCGGCTTGTTGTTGGGCTGGAGGTAACCTATTTTTCTATTTTTACGATGCTCTTGACTTCCCTCTATATTTACAGTAAAAGGAAGTCTCCAATCGTGTCTGTCTTTCTCACGTATGTATATATATCGATGATGCTATTTTAACACCCATTGTAGAAAATGTAGAATCTTTGATGTACCAAGATACTTTTATAAATATGGGCAGTTCATAAAGGGGTATTACCGAACTGTTTACCATTTAGATACAAAAAGTATTTTTATAACTAAGAATAAGCCTGGACAATCTACACAGCGTCATCTAGTACCGCAAGCTAAACGGAGCTTGTGTTATGGGTACTAGACAACTGATATAATTACTTAAATACATATTTTTGTAAATAATAAACATGAATTCAAATGTTTGCACCGAGACGTCAAAGTCAAGGGAATTGAACTAGCAACAATCGGAAGGCGATGCGCGATATACTAAAATTATCGAGGCCTGGGTATTGTGTGTTCGGTTAGAAATAATTATTATTGTGATATCTTCGTAAAATGGTGTTGATGTAAATATGAGAACGGTTTGCTTCGTTGGTTTAAGCATGCAGAAAGGATGTCTGATGACATAAGAGATGTACTATATGAAAGTGGATCAATCCAGATATGCAGGAATCGGAGTTGGCTCAGCCTAGTATAACCAGGTTGCTCGTGTGTTGTCTCAAGGAGAAGAATTGTGCGTAAAGACGAAACTAATATCTCTCTGACTACCCCATAAGACCTGAATATGGATGGGTAGTAATATCTTTTAAGATTATTAACTAGGCAACCATAAACGCATGAGTTACTTTATTAGTTTGTATTGCCATCATTAGCATGAATACAGCAACAACATAATATCTGTGCGCGTTATTTAGACGTTAGTCATCGCTGTCATTGCCTTCTGCCTCTGTACCTTGTCTTATATTAAGCAAAATATATGAAAACCCTCGTTTTAAACGTTTCATGTACACGTGAGACCTTGTAATTTAACTTAACATTATAAAGTCGAGTTCAAATATGATCTTTTGTTTAATTGGCTAGTTCATGCGCTTTTAGTATCTGGGTTCTGTATTCGATTCCATCTTAAAGTATCTTACATGCTGTACCTAATGTGACTCGAGTATGAAATCAATTCCAGTTGTTTTGCATACCGCTTTACTATCCGATGGTCGCGGATTCGATTCCTCACACGGTACAAACATTTGTATTCATGAGTATAATTGTTTGTATCGGTCTGGGTGTTTTCTGTGTAATATGTATTTATTTAAAAAAATGTATTTATATCAGATGTCTAGTACCCATAACACAAGCTCTGCTTAGCTTGGGACTAGATGGCATTATGTGAATTGTCCTGAGATATTATTATTATTCCTTATCAGCAAATTATAGTAGTTATTCTTCATTATAATTATCGTCTTACTCATGCAATTGATCGCCAGTCCTGAGTCGAGGTTAGAACGAGGTGTCCTTACTCTGAAGTAGTATAGAATCCGTCAGATAAGAGCTCAGTATTGCTGATGTATAAGTCCTTTCGTGGGTTTGGAATACTTTTTGAAGTTATCCTTTGTTGCGTCTGATAAAGATGTAAAGACCAGTTGTGGCCAACTTTAGAACAGTAAAAAATGTATATCTAATTGTTGGCATTATTTAGTACATTAGTCATCATCGGCATTGTCTTCAGTTTCTATACCTTTATGTGATATCAATACTCATTTCAAATGGTTCGTGCGCACGTGAGAACTTGATTTGGCTCAATATAATGTGTTTAAATATTTTATGATCTTTTGTTTAATAGGTTCATGCGCTGTTAGTTCCTTGGTTCTGTACTCGATTGAAAAATAATCGGTAACCGTGGTTGAAATATATTTTAACGGTTTAAGTGAATATTTCTGTTGGATGGAGTAAGTTATGGGTAGGAGTAGACAACTGATATAAACTGTCACAATACATGGTTTTGTAAATGTTTCATCCAGACCAATACAGTACTTGGTTAGGATGACCAAAGACCAAATAATCATACTCAAGAATACAAATGTTTCCACTGTACGAAGAGTCGAATCCGCGACCATAGGAAAGTAAAGCGGTGTGCTAAACCGCTAGACCACCATGGCCAACCAAATAGACGACGAATTTTTAGTCTCGGTAACATGACTAACAAGAGACTAAAGTTGACAATAGTCAGAGATAGAATGAATGTATTGCATGTTTTCGCGGCTACAATTATCTCGCAAGTCGTAACTTCTCTCATCGTTTAATTATACAAAGAAAAATAAACTTGCTTTCCTGTAAACGTTTGTAAGACGTAATTTGTTAGTTGTGTATGTACTTATGATTATGACGCAAGTTCTTGTTATAGTCGAAGGACTCCGTTTATCAGTGGCTGATCTTAGTATAATGCTATCACACTGATGATAATGGCATGTTATGGTATTTAACTGGTTTAAGGATAAAGTATTTTGGTATATGTTGTAACTGGCTAATCAGATATGTATTTTATTTTATTTCTAAATTTGTATTTGAATTTATAGTTCTTTTATATTACATTCTTGTTTTTTGATACTTCAATTCATTCTTTCTGTTGTCAATATGTTAGTTCTCTATTATTAATATATTTTCTCCGTTTACCTAGTCTTC